ATATATACTAAGTACAGAGCAGTGAAAAATAAACAGACTCATTTCTTTTAAAGTTTACAGGCTGGCATGAAAGGCAATAATGAAAAGTAATAAGTATTGTAGTAGAGCTATGCAAAGGTTTTATGGGACAAAAAAAATGTGACGGGCAAAGTTAGGAAGGCATCTGTAAAAATGAATAGAATCTTGAAGGATATAACAATCAGAGGTAAAGGGGAACTAATTTTCCAAGCAGAGACAAAACTTGTACAATGGAGTATCAAGGCATTATGACATAGCAGATTTAGAGAATTTAAAATTCTTAAATTGGAGATGGGATGACAATGGGGGAGTGTGGAAGATGCGATTGGAGGCAGAGGTGGGACCAGGTTTTGACTAACTCTGCATGTGATAAGGAGTCTATGAGTCTATAACTTTCTTTCTCAAAGTTATAGAGGAATTTAGCTTGTTCAGAGCTGGAGTTCTGGAAAGGTAACAGGGGATAATGGATTAAGAATGGAAAAATAAAGAGTTGCTTTCGAACAACATTAAAATAGCATTGGCTAAATCATGTTCTTTGTGATATCCTGGGGAATTAATGTCTATTGTAATGGCTAGTTCTAACTATTTTTTTCTAGAGCTGGTATATCATCTACAGTGGTTGAGTATGTAAATGTAGGTATGTACATGTAGTGTTTTTTAATGAACTACTTATTTTATAATAGTTTTATGTTTGCAGAGGAGATGCAAAAATAGTGCAGAGTTGCCACATATCCTCCACCCAGTCTCCTCTATTGCTAACATATTACATGCTGCATTACCATAACTAAGAAACCAACATTGGTACATTACTATGATTAACTGAATTCCACCAAACTTTACACCTTATTTAGAGTTCACTAGTTTTTTTTTTTTTTTTTTTTTTATCGTAATGTTCTTTTTCTGTTTTAGGATTCAACCCAGCATGCAATGTTACATTCAGTCTTTATAGCTTATACCCTCCTGTGATCTGTGACAGTTTCTCACATGTTCCTCGTGTTTCACAACCTTTACACTTTCAAAGAGTACGGGTTAGGCATTTTGTAGCCTGTCCCTCAATTTGGGTTTGACACATTTCTTTCCTCATGGTTAGCCTGGGGTGACGAAGACCACAGGGGCGAAGGGTGATTTTCATTATGTCTTATCAAAGGGTACATGTTACGAAGAGGACCTTCTTATCACATCTTATCAAAGGGTACATGCTGCCACTGATGATGTCAACTTTGATCTGAGATTGGTTGTGTTTGCCAACTTTCACCACTTTAAACTTACCCTCCCAACTCCACACCTCCCTGTGTCTCTTTTTCCATACTCTACTCTTTGCAAAGGAGTTACTAAGCACAGTGCACACTCAAGGGCAGGAGTAAAGGGGGCAGTATCTATGTATATTATTTGGAATTCTTTAAGGGAGTTTTTCTCCCATTCATTTTTCCCCTTTATTTATTTATTCACTCATTAATATCAGTCTGGACTGATTTCAAAGATATTTAGTTTATACTTTGGATTATAATTCTACACTATGTTGTATATTTTGTTGATCACATTGTTCCAGATTCTGGCCATTGGGAGCTCATTCAGGTTGCCTCCTTTATCTCTTCGACATATCACATTCTTTTATTTTTCAAGCACTTTCGTAGCTATATTTTGAATATAAAACTGTGACATTCGGGTATTTTATCTAGAAAGTTGGAAGAAAATGAAATGTTAGTCCTGACACTGTTATATATTACATAATATCCAGCGGTCTAGACACATTTTATTATTTGCAAAGTGGAGAGAATACCATGTTTAAGGCATTATGCTAATTAAGATGTGTAATAAAAGATTGAAGTGGCATTCAAAATCACATATTGCAGTATATAGTCAATATGGCTCATTTAGCATGGCACCTCATCACTTGCAGCTCTTTTTGAATGAGTAATGTTAAAGCTAAGCTTAAAACTGGCTTAAAAATGAAAAAAGAAATTAGAAGTCCTTAACATTTAGAAATTCTTGAACGTCAAATTCTTATCTTTAACTACTTTAAATGACAGGTCAGCTGCCCTAATTGTTATGGTAATATCAAACAAAAGCACTCTGAGCTTTATTTTGCTTTTCATTTCACAAATCAATTTTCTCTTCAAAGACATGATACATTTCTTATTTGTTCTAAAACACGCTGCTACCTTGGTAACTACCAAATTGTATACCTTACGTGGCAGTGTTGACAAAGAGAATCTTACAAAAGACACAAAGAGTATAAAGAGACCTGAGGACTGCTGTTTGATTCTAATGTCTAGAAAGACCTATCACAGACTGTTAACCAACACAGACCTTGAAAGCATCTATGCTATCTTCTAACAGAGCTACAAATCTAGATGAGAATTCGGGCTTCCCAGCCCTTCATTTCCCACACAGTGAGTCCGATAGCTCCTCCCTGCGCCCAAATTAGCAGCTTGTAATGCATTCCCAGCGCTGCTGTACTTATTCAGCATATCTTCTGTGTTCTTGGAAAAGTGATATGAGGTTGGAAAGGGAATTTGTTCTGGAAATAAATGTGACCCTTCATTTCACTTAGATTTTCACAAATCCGTAACTTTGGATGCATTGACTTAATAGCAGGAATGATGCAAGTGAAACCAGGACAAAGATGACCATAAACTGCGAATCAGATGTCTGGACTCAAGTTCCAACCAGCAATATGCAATATGGCGTGCTATAGCAGGCTCCTCTGAGATTCATTTTGTATCTTTGAAAATAATTGATTTCAATATATTATCTTTACGATTTCCTCTGGTTCTGAAATCTATGACGCTCTGATAAAAATTTTCCTTTCATAATTCCTCAAATAATTAATTCACTGACTTCGTTGATTTCTCTGGAGCAACTCCAAATACACTACATCTTTTCTCGGAGGCTTTCTCCCTTAAAATGCAATTACTGGAGGTTTAAGCTATATTTATGCAAAGAGAAATATGCAAGTCAGGAGAGAATAAAGATTTTTGATATTATTATTTTAATCAGTCATAAGTTCAGCCTATTTTGTGCAGGATAATAAAAGTTTGCGTTGAAGCAGCTATTTCTTAAGAAGGGAGGGTGGACGGTAGCCCTCCCCTCCATCAGGGGCCTGTTCCTCCCTCCATTCACTGGAGCTCTAGACCAAGATTGAGCTATGCAGCCGAGAAATAGGTAGTGTTTTCTTCCACATTTAATCATTCAGAGTTCCAGCACAAGCTATAGGAGATCAAATATACATATAATAAAATATATATGTATGTATCTTTGCCACCTATATTTCTTAGAGCTGTGTTATGGATTGAATTATGCCCACCCCCCCAAATTCATATGTTGAAATCCTATCCCCTGACCTCAGAATATGACTTTATTTGGAAATAGGGTTGTTCAAATGTAGTTAGTTAAGATGTGTGGTCATAATGGAGTAGAGTGGGCTCCTAACCTAATATGATTGGTGTCCTTATAAAAAAAGAGAAATTCAGATCCAGACGCAGGGAGAACGTCATGTGAAGATTGAAGTTATACTCCCACAAAGCAAGGAACCATCAGAACCTAGAAGACAGGACTAGAACAGCTCCTTCCCATGGTCTTCAGAGGGACTGTGGACCCACCACAACTTGATTTCAGACTTCTGGCCTCCAGAACTGTTAAGACAACACATTCTGTTGTTCTGAGTCACCTAGTTTGTGGAACTTTGTTACAGCTGCCCTGGGAAATCAATATAAGCTGTAACACAGGTGTACGGTGCAGGGGCTAAGGGCTGGATTTCTTTTAATATCAGCGAACGTGTTAGCACTATCACTGGCTTATGAGTTTATTTTGCCCATGTTGCCAGTTTGTTTTCCTATTGATTATGAGGCATCTGTTTTCAAGTAAGGGTCTTTGTCACTTACTCGCTATGTAATTAGCCTCACTGATCTTCACTTCCCTGATAATACTAATACTCGATCTAGCATAACATGGGCTTATTTGTGAGGATCAAATGAGATAATGTAAGTGAAAAATAACACAGAGGCACGTAGAAGGGGATGCTGTGTAGACGTTAAGATCCAGGACAGTACAGCCAGGCTGAATTAGTTTACTCCTCCTTTCTTACTTGTTGTGACTGAGGTGTGGACTCATTTCCATCATTTTAAAATGAGACTTGTAATAGAAACTTTGTCTTAAAATTGTAGTGAAGATCAATGATTTAATACATAAAGATATCTTAGAAATTTGTCCTACACATAGAAACAACTCAATAAATGGTATCTAATAGAAGTAACTTGCAAACTACTAAGAACCATACAAATGTTAGATTATTAAAATTTATAGTTAGTAAAGAGCTTATTGATGAATGCACTTACTGTGAACATACCTTTTAGCAGCAGCATAGTTTTGGAGAGCTAAGGACAGACCATCACAGATGAGGGATGTTACCAGTGGACCAGGTTTGCCCAGTGAATCAGAAGAACCTTAGAACTAGAGGCTATTTCTTATACACTAGTTTTTTCATTTCCTGGTGTAAAAATACTTCATAGCCAAACTTTTTGTTGAGCATCACACTAATTGCTCTGATATGCAAACAAAATGTGAAGGATTTAGGCAGATTTTACTTGGCCATACAGAAAGGGGAATTGATTTTTTAAAAACCGCTTTTAAAAGTTTCTAATTAAATCTTTGTTTGCCTATCTTTAAATTGAGACATTGTCTCTACATTACCCCCCTAGTTGACAGTAAGTAAAAAATAGCCAGCCACTTTCTCACCTTGCTGTATACCACAAGGTGAGTTTTTTGGGTCAAATAAAAGACTGCCACTGGAAAACACTACTTGCTTCATGTGTGTCTGGTCTTTCAGTGGAAAAAGAAACATTTTAGTGTCTGGCCTTACAGAAGAGAAAGAAGTGTTTTAGTAAAACACTTTCTATTAGCTTACTTGGAGTAAATAGAAACAGTTGAAACTTTTAAAAATGAATTCTATTATCGCATTTATTCAATTTCACACAACTTACCCAGGAAGTATATACTTGGAAAACGGATTGTCTCAGTGCTGTGGATAAGTTATAGTCTTCAGAACTGTGGTGTGTTTGGTGTCCAGCCCACATAATATTAACCTCTGCAAACACATAATTTGAAAAGAGCCATAAGAATAAGAACAAAGCCACTTCCATTTTTAGTTATGTATGCTGCTCTGTTGAGTGACAAAGAAAAAATCTGGAACATCTCTGAAAAAGCTAACCAATATAATTATAATTAAAGTAAGCTGTCTAAAATCACTTTTGGAAGCAGGGAGGGTATAAATGACAAACAAATAAAAAAATTGAAATGTAGCCAATAAATATGTATAGTATATATGATATAACTAAATGCTTCCAGAAAACTGAAATTTACACTTTGCTAGCATATTACAATATGACAGATCATAAAAGCTAGCTGGTAATGCTGCAACAATACAGTCAATGGATAGTGATGATTTTTCAGTATGTGATAATATATTTCTAATTAAAGAAGAACACTCTGATGGCAGAAATTTGTGCATAATTTTTTGAATGAAATATTATATAATAATCTTTCCTGTTGACTTTTTGAGAAGTTTCAAAATCTGTCTACTGGAATAAGAAGCAAAGCAGAGTAATATTTGGTTCTAAGATTTTTTTGAGACAGATTAGCCCTGAGGTAACTACTGCCAATCTTCCTCTTTTTGCTGAGGAAGACTGGCCCTGAGCTAACATCCATGCCCATCTTCCTCTACTTTATAAGTGGGACATCTACCACAGCATGGCGTTTGCCAAGTGGTGCCATGTCCACACCCGGGATCCAAACCCGCGAAGCCCAGGCCGCCGAGAAGCGGGACATGCGCACTAAACTGCTGTGCCACCAGGCCAGCCCTTGGTTCTAATATTTAAGGTTTCATTTTTGTTTGCAGAAATATGTTAGCTAATAGTTACATATAGTTCTTTCCATATCTTACCAAACACTGTACCATTTCAAAAGTTGCCCCACATAGCTGTTGTTTGCCCTCATGATAAAAAATGAAATGTAAGTTGTTTATTTTCCTTGAGCATTATGCAGATTGCCAACATACTGCCTTGAGTTTCATATACACCCTGAAAGGATAGTTGCTTATTTTTCTACAACAAATATGCCACTAAAATAACCTCCTAAGGAGATGGAACAGAAGAGAACGAGCCCACATTTTATATTCTATCCATATTTTTCATTTCTTACCTGAATTACAGATCAAAATGCACATTATATTCTATTCAAGTAAAGCAAAGTATATTCTGAGCTAAAATAACTTATACTTAGTTTTCTGCTACCAGTACAGGAGATAGAATTAACCGTGTGATATGATCATTTTATCCCTGTTAGTACAGATTAGAAATGAAATCTTTTAGGCTTGGATGCATGGCAACTGAACAGTGAAACTAAGAGTGGAAGCACTGGGTTATTGATTGGTCTTCGCAGTTGCCATACACTAATAGTTAAAATACATGGCACAGGGTAGAACAATTTTTTAGAGATTTTTATGAAAATCATGGGGACATCTATATGTACACATACATAATATACAATATATATATATCAATACTGGTAGCCTTCTTGGGCATTTATTTAGGCAACGAAAGCTCCCCGGACAATCTGTGTAGGGGGTTAACAAACAAAATTTGCAAAAGAGCTTTGGTAGACAAATGATATCTCAGAGATATAAGAAGGACTTAATTCTGTGAGAAAGAGAAGATTATTAACAGGATTATGAATAGATAGCCCTATCAGAAGTCATGTCTATGAAAGTCATATATTTTCAGTGAAACAAGTATTTTCATAAGCCATCAGTTTATATGTAATTTAGATACTGACTGACATTTTAATCATTCCTAAAGATGACCCCGTATTTCTACCCAAGCAATTGAGTCAAGCGTTCTTACCACAAATGACCTCTAAAAATTTACCATAATGACCTTTGGAACTTCCCAGGCATAACCCTTGAAATAACCTAGAACCTAAATCTCTGGTTTATTGACTAGCCTATATAGCTATAAATAAGAGATACATAAAGAATCCTGTGGCACTTGATATCTTCAGATGTTGCGTGGAACTTTATTAAGAGGTAATAAATTTAACTAATCTGCTAAGTCCTTCAAAACTTCTTACAGATTGAGCCCTTAAAGTAATTCTAAACACCATTTCTCTTCAGAACATACTCATTATTGAACATTGCAGAACCTATTACTTATAAACTTCATTACAAATAGAGACATTGTTCAATTTGTTGGACCTTTCAGAATTTCTTCAAAAAATTCATCATAATGCATCCATATTATGAACTCACAAGGGGATGAGCTAATCAGATGAGGTTTAATTAGAGGGTAATAATATATATTGGAACTACTTCCTTTTAACCTCCACAGAAGCTAAATAGTGGAACAAACAATCCGCGAAGGTTGAGGTTAAAGACCTGTCTCTTTCGTTGTTCTAAAAGCATTTACTTCCTATCGCAAACTGTGTGTAAGACAAGCCTTCATTCAATGAAGCGCAGCTGTATAAACAGGGCAGAGTAACTGGATCCTACTGCCTTACTTCTGCCACTTTTCACAGCTGGGGAAAACAAGAAGAAATACAGGATTTTTTTTTCACAGTCTATATTAACTTACTTGAAGTAAATTATTTTCAAAGGAGTTATAAAAATGCATTTTATAGTGAATTGTTCCAATAGTTCTTTTGTAAACAAAACAAGAAAAATTAATAATGTGTTTGCAAAGATGTTCATCTTCCCTAATATTTGAACTGATGAATTGCCTGTTCAAGGAAAAGCAAATATTAAAGTGGAAAGAAATATTATTACAATAAACTTCTTTCTATAAAAGAATTAATATAATTATAAGTTGGAGTCATTAATAATTTTCTTTTCCTATAAACATATCATTGGTTATAAAGGCATATGGTATGTTATTATGGCTTTTCAGTGATATAATTAGTAACATTCATGCTGCTTTCCAGTGCCAAAATGTAGATTTGTATAAATATATTTTATTAATACACTGACCCATGATTCAATTTGTTTGGCCAAAATTTAATGTAATATGTGTGTTTGTGTGTATGTTATATTCTTGAGTTTGTTAACTTTTTCCCGTTTTTTGAAAATCAAGGTATAACTTACATACAGTGAAATTCATCCCTTTTCGGATTCAATTCTATTAGTTTTTACCAAACAAATACAGCTGTGTAATCACAATCACAATCAAGATACAGAAAAGTTTTGAGCCAGCCCTGATGGCCTAGTGGTTAAAGTTCAGTGCTCACTGCTTCGGAGGCCCGAGTTCACTTCCTGGTTACAGAACCACACCACCTGTCAGTTGCCATGCTGTGGTGGTGGCTCACATAGAAGAACTAGAATGACTTACAACTAGCATACACAACCATGTATTGGGGCTTTAGGGAGAAAAAAAAAGAGAAAGATTGGCAACAGATGTTAGCTCAGGTCAAATCTTTCCTGCAAAATAAATTAAAAAATAACAAATAACACATTCTTAAAAAGAAATGGGAATAAACTAAATCCCTCTTCTTTGAAAAAACAATACAGAAAAGTTTTGATCATCTCCCAAATTTCCCCATTCCGCTTTGTGTTTGTGGCAGCCTGACTCTGAGATGGCTGCCTGATTCAGAACATGAGATTCTGGACTTTGAATTGATAATGTAATGAGATGAAACTCTTAGGACCTTGGGAGAGGTGAGTATGTTTTGCAGATGAGAGAAATATGAATCACTGGGATCCAGAGGACTGACTGTGAAAGACAATGTTATTTTTTTGGAAGACTGGCCCTGAGCTAACATCTGTTGCCAATCTTCCTCTTTTTTTTCTCCCCAAAGCCCCAGTACATAGTTGTATATCCTAGTTGCAAGTAGTTCTAATTCCTCTATGTGGGATGCCCCACAGCATGGCTTGATGAGCTGTGGGTAGGTCCACGCCCAGGATCGGAACCTGCCAACAGGCTGCCAAAGCAGAGCATGCAAACTTAGCCACAGGACGGGCCCCTGAGAGTCAGTCTTTAAGACAGTCCCCAATGATTCCTGCCTACTGGTGTTCATCCAGTTGCACAGTCCCTCCCCTTCAGTGTGGGCTGAATTTAGTGACTCCTTTGTAGTAAATATAATTTGGGCAAAGGTTATGGGATGTCACTCTTGGTATTAGGTTATAAAAAGACAGTGGCTTATGTCTTGAGTGCTCTGTCTGAGGAAAGTCAGCTGTCATGTTGTGAGCTGCCCTTTGGAGAAGTACATACGACAGGAAAGTAGGAGAGGTCTCAAGCTAATCAGTTAGCAAGGAACTAAGCTCCTCAGTCCAAACTCCACAAGGAACTGCCAACCATGTAAGTGAGTTTGGAAGCTGATCCTCCCCTAGTTGAGCCTTCAGATAGCAATGCATCAGCAGATAGCTTAGCTGCTTAGCTGCAACCTCATGAAAGGACTTAAGCCAGAAGCACTCATCTAAGCTGTGCCTGGATTTCTGACCCAGAGAAGCTGTGAGAGAAGCCACTAATATGTTACAAAGCAGTAGATAATTAATACAGTGGACAATCCCCCCTAACCACATTCTCAGTCCCTAACATCCACTGATTTGGTTTTTTTCTTATAATTTTGCCTTTTTGAGAACATCATATAAATGAATTATTTAGTATTTGGCCTTTAGAGTCTGGTTTCTTTCACTTAGCATAATGCATTACAGATTCCTCTATTTTGCTTTGTTTATCAGTAGTTTGCTCCCTTTTTTTCTGACTAGTATTCCTTTTGCATGTACTAGTTTTTGTTTTGTTTTGTTTTTATCCATTCAGTAGTTGAAGAACATTTCAGTTGTCTCCAGTTTTTGGCAATTACAAATAAAGGATCTACAAACATTCTCATAAAGGTTTTCTGAGAACATACGTTTTCATTTCACTTGGGTAAATAGCTGGGAATGAGATTACTGAGCTTGTATGGTATGTTTACATTTAGCTTGTTAAGAAACTGTCAAACAGTTTTCCAAAATGAACTGTCACTTTTTATATTATCACCAGCAATGTGCGAGAGTCAACGTTGCTCCACAACTCTGGCAATATTTGACATTATTATTGATTT